TTGGTCAATTACACATGATTTTTGTACAACCAAATGATCTAGAATCATGTGATCAACATTTCTTTACCATACAAGGTGCGATCTACACTGTCAATATTTGGCTGATCGACGAAAATAACAAATTCAAAACAAACATCAATTTTAAAAAAAATCAAAAATTTCGTAAGAAATCGCCCTTTGCTGAACCAAAATCAGTATCTGCCGTGACAATTATTAAACCAAAATACAATTGGTATAGATATTTGATGAAGTAATTAATTAAATAATTGATCAGCTATAGCCGGCTATTTAGCCGCGGCTAGCCGGCTATGAGCGGCTAGCCGGTAATAGCCAGCCGATAGCCAGCTGTTCCCATCCCTAATCATTTTACTCAAATTATTTTTATGTCAAAATGGACCCTTTTAATACGAGACACCTCATATGTGTTATTAAATAACAAAGTTGTTGAAAATTTTAGCAGCAACAATAGAAGAAAATGCGGCTATAAAAATTTTATAGTAACATTAACATGAATGAATATAAATACCAACAACGTTCTTAAGGATGACATTAAAACACAAAACAGGATATTATACACAGGGTTATTTAAATTAGTAAAGAAATGAATTAACCATTCAACAAAGAAATAAATTATTTTAAATAAGAATATCGTAATAAATTGAATCATATTAATCATTCCAAATAAGAATCTCTTAATGAATTGAATCATTCTAACACCGAATGATTGCTTCATTTTTAGTAGAAATACGACTAAATCGAGGAATTGCTCCTTTCGAAGATGAAAGTAATGATAAAATAAAACTTTTCGACGTTTTACGTCTATGATTATTATAAATATTAGACGATAATCTTCTATTTCCATCGTTAATTAATTCAACAGTACGCCAATCTAACGGATTATATCCACCAATTATTTCCTCTGAATTTAGAACTTTAATTATAACAACGGCTGGTTCCTTATTATCACAACTTTCATGAAACTTATTAATACTAAAATGTTCTTGGCTTGCACGATAAATAAACTCAAATTTGATAGGTATTTCTTTAAAACGGCAAGGCATTCCTCGTTTGTTATCAATCCAAGTTGCTATTAACGCTGCGTCTTTAGCGTTAATAATTCTAGAATTCAAAAGATCTTGCCTAGGATCTAATTTACGGAAAAGCTCATCAGAAAGATCTGGAAAAATGTCTTTATATTGGGCCTTAATAAACGAAGCTCATAAAGCGACATTTGGAAAAATCTAATGTGAGGGATACAATTATGTATAATTTTTTCAAGTTCCACGAAATCTGTTGATTCCATTCAGCTAAATCATCAGTTAAAATAGAATTAGTATTTTTAATTCCCCATTTAACTAAATATTCCCAAATTTCAATCTCATCTAGTCGAAGGTCATCACTTTGCAACAAACGGATTAGATGATCTTCTATGTCTAAGAATTCTCTTGATTCAAAAACAACCTTGGGGGTTTGCACACAAGATCAAACGCAACATTATATAAATCAGTATCGTGATTTTGCATAATTTAATAAAAATCATTTGGAAATTTCCATGCCGATTCAGTTTCAAGCAAAGTTTCTTAAGTTGTTTACAAAGTTCCAGTAATTCAATCTCGTCAGCAGGAATAAAAATGTCAACAAGGCTGACATTATTCTCAATAGAAAATATTCCTATATGATTTAAAATCAATAAGATTGGAACTTGTTTTTAACTAGTCCTATAAGTATTGGAACAATTACTGAAAAGAAGCACATACAGTTGCCTCCAAAAGTTTGTCACGGTTACACAAAAACATAGTCAAGTATCGATATCCAAAACAACGATATAATATATTGCACGCAAAGTAAATGAATACAACTGACTCTTGGTATAAAAAAATAACCGGGCCCAGGCAAAATTTTTCTTATATCGAGGTTTTCTTATATTAAAGATAAAATTTTCAATTGGGACTTGTAAAATCTTTCTTATATTAAAAGTTTCTTATAATGAAAGTTTCTTATATCGAGAGTTGCTGTTTGTCAAATATTATCATAAATTGTGTTATGTTATTGTGCAACTGTGACAAACTTTTGGAGGCAACTGTATATTCTGATCTAAAAAATGAGATTAGAACTAGTTATGCTTTATAAATTATTAATTAAATGTTTGCAAAAAAGATGTGACCACATGATTTTTGTGATAATGATCGAAAAAATTTGAGATTTTAGATTGTCTATTCATATTGTAATGAATAAAATTTTACTTTTTTATTATATTATATTTTTATTTTATTTCTATATAAACATATTATTATAGTTCTATCTTTATTTTTATGTATATAGTTCTTCCCAATGCCATTTCATAGCAGTAACCGACTTTTTTTTATATCGTGTAAATATTTTAATCAAGTATACTAAAATAGCAGTTGATTGTGGCTTGGTGGCTTATTCTATGCGAGCGCATATACGCTCAAAAGAATCGCGTATACGTCCTTACACAAATTTGTTGATCCCTGCGCCATGGCGTATACGTTCAAAACAAGAGCGTATACATTCAAAAAGAACGTACACGCTCAAAAGAAGAGCGTATACGTTCAAGAAAAGAGCGTAAACGCTCTCACAAAATAAAATGTATATAAGTGCCTGAAATTTAATAAAGAACGATAATTACATATCCACTTTCACTCCCTAATAACTAATAAAGTGTATATACTTAATCTGAATTTCCCTTAAGACTTTATCTTTTGAATTCGACTTGTAAATTTAATAACCCTTTCGAGACTCAATTCGACGGACTGAATTGACTTGTAACTTCGATTTGGTTTATTAAGACTCGGATTCTAGAACGGTTGTGGAATCAGATATTGCCATTCACATTAGTGACTTGCGGGAATTGTGGTAGAGAACGATACTTTCGATTGGTTATTCAACTCTGATCATCATCAGATCATCACTTTATTATCACCCTTAAAGGCATCACCCGTCATTGCTTCGCCCATTATCATCGTTCGTTGATATCAAAGTATTACTCTAAAGTACCATATCGTCCTACTAGTTCCTTAACACTTATAAAAGACCCATTTCACTTACCCAAAGTTAGCCTTATTATCCGTACGCCGTTGGAGTTAGATTGGCATCATTTCTGTATTATTTATTAGCTCTCCCCTTCAACGGTTATAATATTTTAAAGAATCTCCGGTCCTCATCTTTTCGCATAATATAAATCGATAAATCAGCTGATGTGAAAATTATCAAATGTCCAATCACCACCCGGAGCGTATAGTGATACCGTAGAATCTTTTTTTGTAGTTACAACAAAAACCGCATGGATTCTGTTATGCGCATTAATAATGTTACGTAACTTTAATTAGTACCGTAGCTTAATTAATATCGTAACTTAAATTAAAGAGCGCAACTTTAATCAATAGCGTGACATTTAGGGTGCTCTCAAGCGCCTTAATCAATAGATCGGTGTATAAATTTTCATTAATAAAAAATATCTCAGCTGGTCAAAAGTGTTTATCATTGCGGTTAAAAAAAAAGATAGTCTGCGCCCATCTTTTTTCTTCAAAGAGTTGCGCTGATTGGTCAAAATATATCATTGATCGAGACCATTCAAGCACTTTACGAT